GCCAAAGTTTGATAACTACACTGTTACACTGTACAGCTTTATGGTCCTCTAGAAATGGTCCTCACTAAAGCGACAAAAACTTCCAGGTTAATCCTTTAGATCTTAGGAGAGTTATTAGTGAACTAGCAAAATCGTAACATTTTGTAAGTTTTTGTGAATCTTTACATTGGGTGTGATAGTTTCTGCCTTAATTTACTTGCACTTATTTGTTTTTTAGTTTAGATTATATCCTTTCTTGGTAAGTCCTTCTTGCTCGAGAGCTAACTTGCAGGATCTGTTGATTTGCTTTTACTCACCACACCAAAATTTCTCCGATAAATATTACAGGTTCTCTTTTGCTTTGGGACACCTGGTACTCCACAGGGATTGCCCTCTAGCTTAAGAGACCTTACGTGTTTTTTCCCCATTAGAAATATTAGGCAAATTTTGGTGGGCTGCTGGAACAAGAGAACAGGGTTATATTTGAAGAGAGGGACTCAACACTGAATAAAGATCAAAGACTCAAGATTATTAACGATATCGTGACTTCAGTGGTCCCCAGAAAGTAGCTATTGGGTACCTCCAAAGTGAGGTCAGGTAGGGGCACCTGGGTGGCTCAGTCGTTTAAGAGTCTGCCTTTGGCCCAGGTCATGACCCCAGGGTCCTGAGATCGAGCCCCACAACAGGCTTCCTGCTCAGCAGCGAGTCTGCTTCTCCCTCTCTCTCTGCCTCCCCTTTGTGCTTTCTCTCTCTCAAATAAATAAAATCTTTAAAAACAACAACAACAAAGTGAGGTCACGTGGATAACAAGTTGATTGTAGAAATCCAAGCTCAGGACCTCTAAACTGTTTCAATAGTGTAAAATAAATGCCACGCCCCCCAGCCCCTTGTCCAATCCCTGCTTCTGATAAGAATACAGTCCTGGTATCTGGCTACAGAAGTCATACCCAGGGAATTTATCAAATCCGGAATATTCCTCTTTCTGGTCTTTCTGCTGATTTTCTCACTTACAATTTGCAAAGCTTTTCTCTTGCCTCTGGGCTGTCAGTACCTATTGCCAAAAATGGAATGGTCTCTTGTGTTTGAAACAAATGAAGAGAGAGAAATACCTGCTGTATAACATCAAATCAATAGAACACTGCTAGACTTTCCAAGAGAAATGTATAGCTTTGTTATCAGTTTGAAATGTTTATTTTTTTTTAAATATTTACTTATTTAAAAGAGAGCGAGAGAGGGAAGGAAGGAGGAGGGAAGAGGGGCAGAGAGAGAGAGAGAATCTTGAGCAAGGCTTAAGGGAGGCTCGATCTTACCACCTTGAGCCGAAATCAAGAGTCGGATGCTCAACTGACTGAGCCACCCAGGCGCCCCAAGTTTGAAATGTTTAGATCGCCTCTTACCTTGAGATCTTTCAGTGACCACAGCAAAGTGTCCTCTGTCAAGAGCAGGGTTTCAGAAAATGGAAACACAGCAGTCCCTCCCTCCACTTGAGTCTTCATCAGTGGCAGGTAGCCGCTCCACTCTACCTTCTCAGGCCTGTGCCATTAAATAAAGACTATATGAGAGGGAATGTGATAAATCTTGGAATCTAAAATAAGTACATTAAGTTCTTTAGTGGTGGACCTTCAATGAAATTTTTGAAATTATGTATTTTTTTCCTCACTCATCTTTGTTCCATCGATTTTTCTTCCTACCTTTAATGAATGTCTCACATCAGCAAGAGAAACTTTCTGAAGAGCTCGTGTCCACTGAGGACCCATTTGCAGCGTATCTTCTGTCCTTGAGTTGTGGCATTATTATAAAAGCAAAGGTTCTGCTCTGAGTCTTTCCAGCTCCCGTTTGCAGTCGATGCAGAGGACTCAAGGGAACACTTTGTTTCTTCAACTTGTGGTAGTTACCGGCTGTCTTTCATGTCACCAACACAAAAGAGCTGGTGAACAAACGATTCCAGGAATCAAGCTCCCACCCCTGGTTCTATTACTCTTCTTACAGTAATTAATTTCAATCTAATAAGCAATACTTGCGTCTTTCTGGTGCACTGGGTGCCATCCAGCATAATATAATAAACAAGAACAAAGGAGTTTACTAACCAGAGGGGGAAATTTAAACCCTGACTTTAAAAATGGATATGAATTTTCAAAATTAATGTTTCACCAAGTATGGCCTGTGGAGCTGGTTAAGGAATATACCTGCCTGGGTAACATGCCAAACCTACTGAGTCAGGATCTCACAGGGTAGAGTAAGGAAGTCATTTTTAACTGGGTGCCTAGATTTTTTTTTTTATGCCTATGTCGTTTGAAAACTGCGGATGTCCTTTTAACTCCTTTTAACTGCCCTGGACAGTTATATAGGGAAATAAGTCCAACACCGTTGTTCAGGAGCCATTAATCTATGTTAACACTCCAGCTGAAGAAGGAGTTCTCGTCTTGGGATCAGTTAAAATGAACCAGGGAACTTGATGTGAAATGTTGATGTGAAATGCAGACTCCTAGGTGTGCCCCAGTCATTTCTTATTTAGTGGATGGGGCCGGGGGTCTGGAAATACAGTTTTAATGCACATCCTAGTTATTCCAATGTGGTTTGCTCGGTGGATAACACTTTGAAGGCACTGACCTGATAGCAGTTGGCTGTAATCTCAGCAGTCTATTTAGGACGTGGCAACATTCAAGAAGCATTATTTTGTTAGAGGCTGTAGCGAAACAGTGAGATGCCAGACGAAGCAAGTCATATTACTGGCCATGGATAGTACAGTAAAATATGACCCTCACTTAGCCCTGTGGTTTGAATTGATGCAGCCAATTCACTGATTTATTTCAATTGACCATAAGCAATCCCATCTGGATTAGAAAACTTAGACTTTAAAAAAATTAAATATCTGTTCACTCAGATACAACCTCACATTGGAAAATGTAATCAATAAATAGAATATGGATTGGAATACTATTTCCTGGGATGCATGGGTGGCTCAATAGTTGAGCCTCTGCCTTCTTCTGAGGTCATGATCCTGGAGTCCCAGGATGGAGTCCGCATTGGGCTCCCTGTGGGGAGCTTGCTTCTCCCTCCGCCTGTGTCTCTGCCTCTCTCCATGTGTCTCTCATGAATAAATAAATAAAATCTTAAAAAAAAAAAAAGAAATACTATTTCCTGAAATGGTACTTATCTCCATCTATCACATTTGCACAGGTGATCTAAAAGTACAATATGGGGTAACAGGATTCTCTGCCTTTTAAAGTCATAAAAACCAAAGGCAAAAGAAAATCTGTGTGGTAGCTTACATTGTGTGTGAGGATCTCCATCGCTGGAAGGATGGACACCAAAATTATTTTCCACTTACTGCTCTTACGTAGCCAGAAGTCATCACAGGCCAAAATCAAAGATTCCACAGAACCCTCAATAAATTTCATGTGAATAAAATCGATCATGCAGACTCAAAACTGAACTTTCTACAAATCCAGTTCCTTTTTTAAAAGGGGGGAAACTGTGCAAATTTTAGATAAATTTACCCAAAAATATCCAATTTGTCACCCAAGTAACATGGACCACAAGAAGGGAAACAATTTACAATGAAAACTAGTATTTAGCATGCTTATGATCCATAGAGATTATAAAAGGTGTAAGGTATCTTTCTGGAAGAGCCAGAATGACCTTTGTTGAGAATGTCCCATAGACACTTTATCCACCTCATCAATCCCAAATGTCAAAAACGCACTGAGGATTGATCTACCTTCCAGAGTGTTTTCATAACTCAAGTAGCATGGTACTGCAAGGCTGATCCTGCAGTGCAGAAAAATGGTAGCTCTAAGGCGGAAGTATATTAACTCTCTAGATTTGACTTCCTTCTCTGATCACGTTCACTGGATTCCCATAAAAACCTCTGAACATGGTCTTGCCTGATTCAAATGAGGCATGATTTCTCTGACTACTTAAGGTCAACTGCTTATTACCCAATAAAAAAAGCCTAGGATGGATCTCCAATGGAGAGAAGAAGCCTGCTACTCAGGATCCAGGAAGAAATGCAAACATTCTTTGGGGGCAGAAGGGGGAGAAGAGGACAGGCTCTGTTACTCTACTGTGATCAAAACCACAGACTAGTTTTCTCTGCTCCTATCCCTTCTAAACTTTTAGCCTTACTTTCCCTCAGTTAACATCCCGTACCAATACTATGGTAGAATTTCATTTTATCAAAACAGATTGAAGCCAAGATCATTTTGTTAGAATTCTATTCTTTGAGAAAATGGAAAATACCAATTTAATCTAAGAACTTGTATGTGGAGGGGAAAGTAGAGACTGTTCCATCCGAATAATTGTAACAAGAGTTAAAACTGCCAGTGTTCTTTCCTTTATAAATAAATTAGAATATGAAGAAATCAATTGAAATCCCATAAAAAGTACATAAACTCATGTGATTCTCTTACTAGACAATAACGGCCATTGATACTAGAATGAGATTATATAAAAGTTGTATTCGTTCTGCCCATCACAAATTTGCTTACTTTTTTATTTTCTAATATGTTTGTGCTGGTAAGACATATGGTTCCTCTGGGCCAGTGAACTACATAGTTTCAAACTTGTGCCCATGAGACCTCCCTTGTAAAGGCTGGTGATTTTGCTGGTAATTTGTAAAGGCTGATAATTTGCACTGAAAACCACATTTCCCAGCCAAGGATGGAAACAATCACCAAGTATAAACACCAAGCTGCCTTGTGGGGGAAAAGAGGATGGGGCAGGATATGGAGGACTTCCTGTCACTCCTTCACTCTGCAGGAAAAGCTCAAAATATACTCCTTACTGGTTATTAGAACTGATTTTATTTTTGAATGCTTATCAGATGAAGAGGAGCAGAAATTACACTAAGCCGACCGAGTCACATGAAGTAAAACAAATGCCTCTTGAGTAAATACCTTCTTTGAGTGATATTACAAATAAACCGGGTTTTGAGAATTATAATGAAATAAGTTAGCAAAAACAAGAACAATGTGATGGTGATGATGCTCTCTGCATATTGATTTATATTTATGTTTTAGCTGTTTGAAAAAGTCAAAGAAGTTTGTCCAAACGTGCATGAGAAGATCAGAGCTATCTATGCCGATCTCAATCAGAATGACTTTGCCATCAGCAAGGAGGACATGCAGGAGCTTCTCTCCTGTACAAACATTGTCTTCCACTGTGCAGCCACCGTGCGCTTTGATGACCATCTGAGGTACATTCCCATTTCCCTCTCATGACTCGTGTGTGTGTGTGTGTACATGTGTGCATGAATGTGCACGTGTACAAGTGTGTAAGTTTCTTTGTGGTTTCCGTTAAAAAAGAAAAAAGATATATGCAAATGATGAATCACTAAATCCTACCCCTGAAACTCATAGTTTGTTAACTAAATTGAAATTAAACAAAAAAATGTAAAAAAAAAATGATATATTCTCAATGAAAAGTAACTTTAAGGAGTAAAACTTCTTCAGAGATCTCACTATCCAGAGATAACCATTTAATATTATGGAGAGCATCCATTCCAACTTTTCTTTACGCATACATAATAATAAAATAGATTTATGTTCAACTTCACCCAGAAATTTGATATTTTTTGGCATCATATTGAATATGATGCATGGCATCATATTAATAATTGTTTAGCAACTTGCTCAATTATATCTTTGGTTATCTTTCATTGTCCATAGATACGCTATTATAATTTCTAATGACTGCATGACATTCCATTATACATGTAGATAACATACTCGACTAGTTCTGTATTGGTAGATATTTTTGGATTGTCCTAATTTTTCAGTGTTAGAAACAATGCTTCAGTGAACAACTCTGTGCCTGCATTTTGTTATCCCTTTGTGTGCTTTACTTTGGATAAATGTCTAGAAGTAAAATTGTTAGAGATGTACAGGTGTGCCCAGGTTACAAATGGTTTACATTTTAACATATGTTAAGTAGTTTTCCACAAAGATGGTACTGATTTACATTGTCCCCATGCACATGAATGCTCATTTCTGACACCCACACCCATACTGTATTATAATTCTTCATTTTTAATGTTGCCAATACAATGGAAATGCCATTGCAGATTTTGATTTTGTTGATAATTTAAAATTTTAAAAGAAATAAATAAAAAATAAAAAGCTGAAGATGTGGAAATGCTGATGGGCATTTTATTCTTTTGTGAAATGCCTAGTCATGTTCTTTGCCTATTTTTCTACTGAAACATTTTTTTTCTTGTCAATTTTAAGACCTGTTGGAATATTTAGCATATTGATTTTTTTGTATTTTATAAGGCTCAAAATATTTTAACAGTGTATCATTTGTCCTCAACTATTTTTATTATTTATTCAGTTATTCATAATTTCGTCTAGAATTTTTATTGCTTCATTTTCACCTTTAAATCTTTGACCCGTTTAGAGTTTATTTGCCTATAAAGAGAAATGGGAAAATTCTATAAAAAGGAAAGTAATGTGGGTGTGAATATGGAGTAGCTTTTGAAAGAATTTCTAACAGATGGCTACTTCTTAAGTAACACTTATTAAATGATTTGCTTTATTCTTTATTTAAAGTGAAGCTTTTATAATATACTGAATTTCCATTGTTGGACTCTTTATTTTGTTCTATTACTTAGGCTTTCTCTTCCAACACCACAGCATTTTATTACAGTAATTTTTATTTTATTAGGCAAGTACATACACATAATTCTCTTTTTATAGAATTTTCCTGACTATTCTCTTCTGCTTATACAACTTGATTAAACTTAGGATAACTTTTTCAAGTTCTTAAAAAATTGCAAATTTGATTAGGAATACCTTGAACATATCAACGAATTTAGAAAAACTCAACATATTTAAAACATTGGTTCTTCCTATCCAAGAACAATGTTTATTGTTTATTCAATTTTTCTATAACCCTTAAAGAAGTTATATCATTTTCTGTATATAGTCTCTTCATTTATTCTTAACTTGATATATTTTTTAAATGTTTGGTTTTGAATATGTGCCTTTCTTTCACCATATTCTCCAGTTTTTTTTTCCTTTTACATAACTTTTATAAATGGACACTTTCCTGAATTAATCATTACATGTCCCAGGGTGGTTTTTTAGCTCTTCTGTTTATTTTCCATATATACAAGTATGTAATCTGACAGGGATTTTTGTGACTGCCTTTACACCTTTTATATCTGCTAATTCATTTTATTTTCCTCACTGATTACCAGGTGGAAGTTCAGAGCAATAAGTAGTAGTAGTGATTGTAGGCATCCTTCTTGCCCCTGACTTTGAGACTTTTCACCATTAAATGTGATACAGGCTAGCAGAGTGAACGGGATATATTTTAATCATTTATTCTTTTAGTGAATTTTTAAAACTTAAATTGGAAATGGATACTGAATGTCATTTAAAACTTTTTAAAATACATTATAGAGGATCATTTAGTTTTTCTCTTTTTTTAGTTAGAGTAGTAGGGTTCTTGATATGGTATAGACCATGTATTTCTAGAATGAACCATTTCATTGTCATCACATATTGTGCTTATCTAACTTCGTGTCCTATTAGCTAAAATTTCAGATTTTTACATCAAATTTTATGTCTGACCTGGACCTTTGCGATGGAAATTTATATTTCTCATTCTACATCCATCCACTGTTGCTCTCCCACAATTTATTTGAATTTTCCAGCTTCTTGAGTTAGATGCTCAATTTATATATTTTTATATTTTTAAGGGCTGTTTAGGAAGCCCCTCTATACATTCAGAGGATTAGGATTTTTTTCCTTCTAGCACATTTAGAACCAAGTAATCTCGAAATGCAATATGAACAATGCTTTAATGAATAGGATTTATGTGCACAGAATGCATAAACAACATATAACACATTCCAGATATTGCATAACTGTGTAGCTGGGACCCATACTTTTCTTTGTGGTTCTATGGTGCAGCCACAAAAATCAGATAGACATGACAGTTTTTGGAGTAGGTGAAGTTCTAGCAATGGCGGGTTGCCTCATTACTTCCTTCTGCTTAACCTACAGACATGCCGTGCAACTTAATGTCACTGCTACCCAGCAGCTCTTGCTCATGGCCAGTCAGATGCCAAAGCTGGAAGCCTTCATACATATCTCTACTGCCTTTTCAAATTGTAACCTGAAGCACATCGATGAAGTCATCTATCCATGCCCTGTGGAGCCAAAAAAAATCATCGACTCCATGGAGTAAGTTGGGTCATGTGAGGGGGCCAGGAGGTCGGCAGATTGTTGTTCTCTTTGATTCTTTATAGTCATTCCTTAATGAGGTGACAAAGGGAGACAGTCTGGAAACAGCATGCTTTGAGAAGGTGCCGGCTGTTACTACCCTATCCCTGCGCTTCCCTTCCTCCCAGTGGGGAGGGAGTATAGGGCTTAGTAATGGGGGAGGATGGACATAGGTAAATCCCACAGAAAAGTTTTGTTAAGTAGTTTAGGATTATAATAGGTACAGGGGAATGCTCTCCATACAGATGGTTTCTCACTTCTTCATGAACTCAGCATGGTCACTAAGGGCAGTAGAGTGTACAGTAGCTAGGTTGCAGCAGCAGACCTACCCAGCTTCTGTAGCTTACTCTGTGTGTGACCTTGAGTGATTTCCTTGGCTTCTCCTTGCCTCATCCCTTCATTTGTGAAATGGGGCCAATAATAATGCCCATGTTGTAGTGAAGATAAATTGAGTTATATAAAGCAGTTAGTGTGCTAGGGAGTGTTGAATAGCAGTTAGTCAAAAAGTTAATAAAGAAGAGCTAATAGGTAAGGGGAAATCCTCCCAGGAGTGGCAGAAAGTGCCAGTCTCTTGGTCTAGCGGCCGAGATACACTCTCCGTATTGTCCTGCTGTGGAGGGACAACAGCAGGCTAGCATTTTTCTCTTCTCGCCTAGGAACAGGAACCAATTTGCTCTTAGGACGTGGCCCTGGTCTCAGAACAAGGATGTTTTTGTTTTCTGTGTCTTCATTCTTTTGTTCAGTTTACCGAGTTTACCTTGTTTAAAAAAAAAAAAACTGCAAAAAAGTACGACAGCAGAGAAAATCGACTACTTCACAGTGAAATTTGTCAGATGTTAATTTCAGGCACTGCTGTATCTCTATTTGAGATATACTCTGTAAAACGAAGCTTAGCTAAATCAAGAGTTCATTCCCTTCAGGGCAACCATTTTTATCTCCTACAGCTCTGAGAATAGATATTTTTACCTGTCATTTTAAAATATCCAGGACAAAGAAGAAGGAAAGTCATCTAAAGGACCTGGAGTTTACCTAAAGTCGCTAATAAGCGATTATTTTCTTAAGTGGTGCAAAGGAACCTTCCAAGTGCAGAGCTTGTCGGGAGAGTTGGAGAAAAGGTGCTCTGATGCCCAGAGTTGGTACATGAGAGTGGATGTGGAAAGCCTCAGTGCATTTGCAGATGGAATCGATTAGTTGTCAGTTAGCTGCCCTCCTAGGGTGCTGTCTCTCAGTAGAAGTGGTGCTTACGTATTCGCTGTGCCCAAGAAAGGGGCAGACCTGCTTTGACTGCAGACTCTACTGCTGAGATTCCAGAGCCTTACGCTACTGTTGACCAGTCTAGCACCTGATGTATCACAGTGTGAGGTGAGGCAGTACAGAAGTCTTGCAGAGTTTGCCTGAGAAAAGAGACAGGAAATGCAGATTTGGTTCACCCCTGGTGAGGGCCTTCTCTAGGTACTCCTGCACTTCCTCCCTCCCTCCCTCCCAAACTATGTCCAGACACTCAGTACCCCTAGACCTCAAAGAAGAGGAGTTGATTTCTCTTCAGATGTTCAGCACTTGCCATCCTCCCCCACTCTGTGTCCCCCGGTAAAAGCAGGTAACTGCTACATGATCTATGATCAAACTGTAATTGGCATTTCTACAGAATTTACATCTGTCATTTACTGCTCCCCAAGGAGTATAATTATTTTTAAAAATACACAGCCAAACAGAACTAAAAATAAAATAAATTTTGTCTCAATAGAATAATTTTGCATGCAATCAAGGAACCAAGGCTTTAAAAACAAAACAGAGCAAGTCATAAGCACAATTTATTAACTCAGAATTTTATATTCAGGACCACGTGTCCAGCCTCCTCTCCGTCAGCCCTCCCTTTACATTTGTGCTATGGTCCTACTGCAATTACTCCTCTTCCTCATGCCTCTCTGCCTTGGCTTATGGTGGTTCAGTTTCCAGAAGCTACTTCCACCTCTGCTTCCTGGGTTAATTCCTACTCGGACATCAGAGCTCTCCTCTGAAAGCCGTTGAGCTGAGGTGGCTTCCCCAGTGCCTCTAAGTACCCCGTGCCCACCTTAACCATCGCTCTTACATGGGTTATTCTAAATATCTGTGTTCTCTATTAGGCAATGAGCTTGGCAAAGGAAGGGAATGTCTCTTGCTCCTCCTGGCTCTCAATGCCAGCACGTGGTAGGGACGCCAGTGTTTGCTGAATGAATGAAATGTTGTTGCTGGAACAAGGTGACCACTGTTCACACTGTCGCGACTGAGGTTTTTGGGTTGGTTGGTTTAAACAAACGTGGGAATAGATGGCAGGATTCCATAGCAAGCTTCTTATATCTGGGCGTGTGAAGTCCCATGTGTAAAACACCTGTATGCCCTCATCTTCTCCCTATTTCTGATGGCCTGTTTTTTCCTCTTAAGCTTCTAATAAAACCTATGTGTTAAGTCTAGAATAATGCTTTGAATAAAGCCAAGGAACCTTTTACCAGCTACACTGTTGGTTATGATGCTTTCAATAACCCCTATATCAGATGGAGTTCTCTGAAGGTTTAGAATAACAAATAGCATTAGAGTTATTCTGAATAAATATTAATTCACCTAAATTTAGTTACTTTGATTCAAGAAAATACTTTTTCTCTGATCTTTATTTTTGCAATTGACCTTTGGTTAAAACAAAGGTACTTTCCAAGATTTTTAGGTTTCTATTTCCCTTGGAAATTTTTACTAATAGTGGCCTCACGGGGTCTCGGAGCTGTCATTATTCTTGGTATTTCAGTGGTCCTCATGTTTTAAAAAGGAACCAGGTGTTAAACTCTAAGATGATCTCAAAACTGTGCTCTGGGCTTTGTGATCTCAAGAAAATCACCCATGGGGATGTGCTAATTAACTAGATGTGGGGGGAGGGGGTTGGAATCCTTCCACATTGTACCTGTATATCAAATCATCATAATGTACATTTTCAATATCTTACCATTTTGTCAGTTATACCTCAGTAAAGCTGGGGAGAAAAGAAAGAAAGAAAGAAAGTCACCCATGACAAAGTAAAGTAAACCTTTATTTTCCCAGAAAACCAGTTTAATGAGAATTCCAGTTCTAGGAAATAAAAAAGGATTTTGCCAGGAACTTTTTCAGTTGTGTAGGCCCGAGGGGTAAGGCTCAGTGGTGTTCATAAAGGGACTGGGACTGTGAACCCAAAGCTGACACCTTCCAGCCCTGCCCCATCCCCTTCCACCCACCTCATTCGGCTCTCCCAGCCTAAGACTGCCAGGCCTCAGTTCCCTTCCTTCAGCCTGGATCTGAAAAATTCCAGAATTACCTTGGTCCTGAGCCATGCCTGAAAGATGAAATCTGATTGCGTTAGTACAAACTTTTAGTGTGGTAGCGTAACCACATTTTAACAACACCTGAAATTAGGAGTTGATGTTTTCTATTGGCATGACAAGCGTGGCCATTAATCAGCATTAAAAAAAAAAAAAAAAAAAAAAAAAACCAACAGGCTTTTCTTTCTTTTTTTTTTTTTAAGATTTTATTTATTTGTGTGTGTGTGTGAGAGAGAGAGAGAGAGAGAGAGAGAGAGAGAGAGGCAGACACAGGCAGAGGGAGAAGCAGGCTCCATGCAGGGAGCCCGATGTGGGACTTGATCCCAAGTCCCCAGCATCCCACCCTGGGCCAAAGGTGGTGCTAAACCGCTGAGCCACCCGGGTACCCAAAACAGGCTTTTCTAGTTCTCCTTACTTGCCTGTGTCCTCGGCCCTTGTCACAACTACCGCAGGCATTTTCTCAGGGAATTGTGCCACCGTTCTTACTCATCTGTCTTTGTATTTCTAGCTTCTACAGTTGGGGATTTTTACCTTTAGAAACTCCTGGGCGTAAATGGATGAGGGATTACCAATGAAATTACAGTTTTCCAGAATAACAGCTTAAGTAGGCTTATTTTTAAAAATGCACATAACTGACCAGGGAAAATTGCTGCTTTCCATCTTTTTTTCAGGCCAAGTTAACTCCACAAGGATTTCTGCACCTACATGAAAACTTGAGATAATTCGAGTTAGAAACTAGGAAAGTGGATCTATAAGTATTTACTGCTTTATTTAGCATATTTAATATCGTCAATGTGCATTAAGAAGGGAAGGACCTGGCAGCCCGGTGGCTCAGCGGTTTAGCGCCACCTTCAGCCCAGGGCGTGATCCTGGCGACCTGGGATCGAGTCCCACATCGGGCTCCCTGCATGGAGCCTGCTTCTCCCTCTGCCTGTGTCTCTGCCTCTCTCTCTCCCTTTCTCCCTCTCCCTCTCTCTCTCTCTCTGTCTCTCATGAATAAATAAAATATTTTTTAAAATTTTTTTAAAAAATAAGGGAAGGACAGCTATGAATCATCACTGAGCAAGTATTGGGAGTAAAGACACTTTCACGGACACCCAGTTCCTTACCATAATACTGTAGGGTTGGTAGTAGCAGCACGACCTACTATGCTAATAAGGGAACCAAAGTTCCGAAAGGCTAAGGAGCTCTTCCGAAGTCTCTCAGCTGATAAGTTACAGGGACACCATCTTTTTCTGCAGTCTCATGATTCTGGTCACATGGCTCTGGCCTTTTTTGGCACTCCCACGTACTTGGCAGTGTGAGCAATTAAAAGGTACTTTCCTCAAATATAGACTGTGTTCCCAGGGAGCTCCCAGTAAAACACAAAATAGAACAGTAAAGATGCGGAGTGTGGTAGAGCATACTCAGGTTGAGGGAGTAGATGGAGTGGAAAGGCCATCCGGGGACAGGCACAGGATGCGGACTTGGATGAGGAGGCACAGCGTGGGTGGGTGAGATGGGGTCACAGACCAGCACAGCCCCTGGAGCAGGAAAACTGGGGGCATGGTTGCGATCCAGCTGCAAGTCCCCTTGGGCAGCACAGCTGGTGCATGTAGGGTGCATCACATGTTACAGTTATATCGCACATTAGAGGCCTAGCCAGGAAATGGGTTGGGGCCGCACTGAGATCTTGAACACCATGTGGGGGGTTGTATTTAATTCTGTAGGGCAACAGGGATCCGAGGCAGAAGGGGCAGGTATGTGTGTGTAGCGGGGTGGGGTTGCTTGGTTGGTTGTTCCATTTTGTTTCCATCAAAAAAAAAAAAAAAAAAAAGACGCTGATGAAAGTGGGCTTTAGGAACATTAGTAGGGTCATGGGGGAGTGGGGGTAGATTCTCCTGGGCAGTGGCCAGAGGCAGAGACAGCCAGGACCTGCCTTGTTGTGGGGAGGGGATCTGGAGCTGGGGAGTGGAGACAGCTACAAAAAAACCCACTTCTGTGTTTGGGAGATAGAAAAATCGGTAGGATGTGGTGTGACTGCTTTGCACGGGGGCTTGCACACAGCTGTCCAATCAACTGTCAGCTTCGGAGACTCCATCTCTAGTGCCCAGAGTTTAATTCTTTTAAAGTTCAAGTCTACTGAAGGTTTTAGGCATCCAAGAAGCGATGCCTTTCTGAGAGCTAATCCCAGTTTGTTCAACTCTTACGTTTGTGGAGTGGCGTCCTTTCAGATTGGTGATTCCCCAGCTTGCCTGACCATCACAATCAGCGCTCCACTTGACAAAAGCAAAGATTATCCAACTGTCACCCTCAAAGATGGGATTTAGAGGTTTTAAGATGGTACCCAGGGATCTAAATTTTGTCATAGGCCCCATGTAAGTCTTAATGATGAGCAGGCAAGTTTGGGGAAAAGTGTCTTAAATTGCTTTTCATTTCACGGTTCTCATTTGACATGGGGCTCATTCATATTCCAGTCACCAAAGCTCTCTGGCCTCCCCACTCTCCTCGCTTTGCCTCTCCGTTTCTAGATGCCTATGAAAAGCTCCTGATAGATTTGTACCTACTAAAAGTTACGCTTTTGAAGCTACCTGGCGTCCAGAAGCACAGCTAATCTGCCATGTGAAAAAGAAAAGGTGTTTTTTGATCAAACACTGACAGCAGTCAGCTGTGGCAGAAATATGAAAGGAAATCAAATGTTGGAAAGTAGTTTTGCCTGCGTGCTGAAGAACACATTGTCAACACTAAGAGGCGCATCTATCCCAGGGGAAAGGAAAACACTCATTCTGATACTTGTGGTTTTACTGTCACGATTGTTTAGGCTTAAGATGGCATCTAAGCAGCTGACAAAAAACTGAAAATTTAATGGGGCTCTATTTATTTTTTAAAAGATCTTATACATCTATTCATGAGAGATACAGAGAGAGAAGCAGAGACATCGGCAGAGGGAGATGCAGGCTCTGTGCAGGGAGTCCAATGCAGGACTCGATCCCAGGACCCCAGGATCATGCCCTGGGCTGGAGGCAGGTGCTCAACCACTGAGCCACCCAGGTGCCCCATTACTGGGCTTTAAATACACATCAGAATCCCTGGGTGGCGCAGCGGTTTAGCGCCTGCCTTTGGCCCAGGGCGCGATCCTGGAGACCCGGGATCGAGTCCCACGTCGGGCTCCCGGTGCATGGAGCCTGCTTCTCCCTCTGCCTGTGTCTCTGCCTCTCTCTCTCTCTCTGTGTGTGACTATCATAAATAAATAAAAATTTTTTAAAAAATGTTTAAATACACATCAGAGCCAGGTTAGATTGTTTCCTAGACAGACTGAATAATTTTCCTATTATCAGGCTGTTGGAGGTCAGAATAGGCACTCAGTGAAAGCCCAGAGGGAAACACAGAGGCCGGTTCACCAGGAGCATTAGACACGGGTATACCCTTCTCCCCAGTACAAAGTCTACATGGACTCTGGAGCCAGCTCTGCCAAGTGGAAATTGGTCAACATGTAGCCTTTCGGTTTCTCCACACTTTTCATCGCTGACAACTGGGTATTTTCACTTCCAGTTTTGCTTTGTTCTCTATAAACACATCTCCCTCCCTCCTTTCCTTCCTTCCCCATAGTCTCCCTCCAACCCCACCTCCTCCTGAGTTCATTCATGCTCTCCGGCCGCTGTCCATCTCAGCTTCCCAAAACAGTATTCAAAACACACACTGGCTGATGATTACCTTTGTAGATACATGCTCCTTGGTTGTTTTACCAAACAAATATAAAAATGCCTTAGATTTATTGGCTCATTTTGCTTTATCAAATAGCCCTAAGTGCGGTTGTGAGCATCCCTGAAAATTAGGACAGCTGTAATGAACACCATTTTTCATCAGTAAAAATCAAGGAAACAAGAAGATAATTCAGTGGAATGCAGGCGGAGGCACGAATAGTAGAAGAGGCAGGCCATTCACAGAGCACTATGGCTTCTTTTTGCAGTTGTATTCTTAGAAAACTATGAAACCAGCATTTGTGGGTTTTTTTTTTAAAGATTTGTTTATTTTAGAGAGAGAGAGAGAGAGTGCTGGCAGGAGTGGGGGGGGGGGACAGAGGGAAAGGGAGAGAAAGAACCTCAAGCAGGCTCCCTGCTGAGCTCAGAGGCCAACACCAGGCTTGATCCCAGGACCCTGAGATCATGACCTGAGCTGAAACCAAGAGTCAGAGGCTCAACTGACTGAGCCACCCAGGTGCCCCCAAACCAACATTTTCTAAGATAAGCTAACTCACCAAGATTGGTAAAGCCTCCAAGTGTTACCCGTTCCATGCACACCAACATCAGTGACAGACAGCTGGTCTCAGCCATGGGCTGTATCATCCTGGTGCGTGGCTAGCTTCTGAGGTGTTCTTAAGAGTTTTTTCCTTTACAAACTTAATGAAATTAGGCTGTATTTCTCCTGACCCAGTTATTGCAATCTGCGCGTGTTCACTGAAAGAAAAATGGTCAGTTAATCCAGTGCCCATCATCAAATCAGATGAGGTAAAAGTAACATCGTCATAAAATGGAGAGGTGCCTAATTTATCCCACACGCTTTATCCCAAACCTCAGGTGGCCATATAATTGGAAAATCTTCTATTTTTCTAAGTATTTGGAGTTGTTTTTATTCTAGGAACTTCTCGACCTTTCCCTATTCAATTGAAATCAAAAGGCAGGGGATCCCTGGGTGGCTCAGGGGTTTAGTGCCTGCCTTTGGCCCAGGGCGTGATCCTGGAAACCCAGGATCGAGTCCCACGTCGGGCTCCCGGCATGGAGTCCCACATCGGACTCCTGGCATTCTCCCTCCGCCTGTGTCTCTGCCCCTCTCTCTTTCTATGTCTATCATGAATAAATAAATAAAAATCTTTAAAAAAAAATCAAAAGGCATTTGAGTGTCTAGAAAACACTCAGCACTAATCACAGCAAAGCAAGAAGGAAAACCCAAACATTACAGACAGTGCTCATGTCCCACTCCAATATCAAATGAGAGTTATTAAATTTGAGAGTTGTGTTTCTGAATAAATATCGGCATAAGCACATCTTAAATGCTCAGTAATTCGTCATGGGAGCAAAGTGGTAACAGCTAAGATCTTTTTACAATCAAAATAGTATGACTGAGCTCAGTCCTTTACGATAGGAATCAATGTACCAAACAGAGTAATTACAAAAATCATACCAACATATTTACATAGCCTAATTTTTTAAAACCCATATTATAACAAATGGTTAACCACATAGATCTGTCAGTTAAGAAAAACATTAAATATTTAATTGACAGTGATTTCATTGCTTTCTCTGAGAAGTGCAGATAGGCTTTGGGATTATCAAAATGGTTCTGACATCTTTAAAAAAGAGATTAGGCGGGTGTCCTGGTAACTCAGTTACTCATGATACATGTCTTTTTGTAAGTAGAGGTGTTCGGCAATCACTGTTAAAGCCGCTTCAGAGTACTCTAATCGCTCCACTTGACAGACTATTAATAGTTATTAGAGAACTTCAGCATTCGTGGGAAATCTCTAGAAATAATTACCAAGTTATTACCATAGGCTGTAAATAGAGCTTCAAAGTGCATTTCATAGATTTGCTAAAACAGGTTGTAAGTCTGCCAAATGTCCCTGCTTTTATTCATTGAGGTATTGAATGGAATTCTACACTGAAAAGCTAAAGCCTGCAGGATTGGTGCACCGGGTGTTAATGGGACAGTGTTGAATGAGCAGGTGCTTCGGAAGCACCCAGGGTGAGAGTCTCTAAACTCCGCTGACACAGCACGTGGCGTGCTCCTGGGCACGGCTGGCACCCTCAAGTGTCCTCAGGGGTGTCCTCATGAGCCAGTTGGAACGGAAATAATTGATGATAATTAGAGATCATATGTAATAAAGTAGTAGGTTGCGTGGCTGTTGAATTTATCAATGTAGGTGGGAGGAAGCAGGACTCAACTGGTAAGACTGGGCTTAGCGCAGAGCAAAGAGTTCATCCAGCAGCGCGCAGGATTTGGACTCCTACACACTCAACCTTGGTAGCCTGTGTGTGGAATTCCAGAATTCAAGCAAGAAAGGGAAAGTTTTGTTTGATTATGTTTGGTTTTGGGGTACTTTTCTGTCTCTCTCTCTCTTTTTTTTTTTTTTTTTGATCTGTTGTCTAACATATGTTGCTAGAATTCTTTTTTACTCTATCTGTAGGTGGTTAGACGATGCTATTATTGACGAGATCACACCCAAGCTGATCGGGGATCGGCCCAATACTTACACGTACACCAAGGCCTTGGGAGAGATGGTGGTGCAGCAGGAGAGTGGGAACCTAAACATTGCCATCATAAGGCCCTCCATTGTGGGGGCAACCTGGCAGGAGCCTTTCCCGGTAAGCGCCCGCTCACCTGGATTCCTCACTTTGCTGCCAAACCAGAGTCCTACTCACCCAATTACTTTCTGGGGTCCTTCTCTCTCTCTCTCTCTCTCTCTCTCTCTCTCTCTCTCTCTCTCTCCCTCTCTCTCCTCTCTCTCTCTCAAAATGTGTAGCTGAGTGCAGCATATCAAACGCAAACCCATTATATTAGGACAAAATTCCATGTTTGGTTCAGGATTTATCCAGCATGAGGCTCGTCTGGGGTTTACACTGCCTCTGCTAGAGTTGGGTGGCAGTCTTAAATTAGCTTCTCATTAACCCTTGGCTGAAAATTCCCATGGGAGATAGTTTTAGTTCTTGACTTCCCCACTTTGTTTAAATATACCAGAATGTTTCTGATGGCCAAATTGGTAATATTACGACTGCCAGGGTAAGTAAGGATCACAAACTTCACAGAAGGTTCTCAGTTTAGGAATAATTAATTTTTGCACCTGTATACTACGGTATCCTTTTAAAAGCACACTGAGTGATACCATCTTTTTTGAAGCAATTCTGTGAAACTTTAGGGCCAAAAAAATTTGAGCTCTGTTACTGACTGAAAAATGCAGCCTTTCGAACGGTCTCATCTGTAAAACTGAGCTAATGCTGTTTTAGCCCCATACTGGACCCATTCTGGAGAGCCGATCAAATGAGACAAGGTAGGAAGAGTGTTTAGTGTAGTGCGTGGTCCTCAGTAGAAGCCTCAACGAATATTAAGCCCTTCATCATCTCTTTTCTCTCTCCTCACCTATTTTCACACGCATGTTGACTTTTACAGATAAAGAAACAGACATAATAAGGTCAACTGCCTTGCTTAGGGCTTCGGAGACAAATTCAAAAGGATGTGTTTGTCTAATTGCTCCTGAACATATTTTTCCTGCTAACATCTCTAAGCAAGCTAACACAAATAGAGTATGGACACTAGGACTTTTCAAATGTTCAAGAAATGGATAGTTCCCACAAACCAGGTTAGATATGTAGTGTTCCTCTGGAGAGTTAAAATCAGACCCAAGGTGAAGAAAAATGATCGTTAATGAGTTGGTTAGCAAGCTGTGATATTAACTCAGTCTCTGTCATAAAACAACCTGAAGCTCTCCATGACTCCTCCTATTAAAAAAAAATGCTGCAGAATTTTAATTCTTGCACAAGTGCAGAAGTATCCAGTGCTTTGCCACTGACCCCTGTTTGTGATCTTAGATATACTGGATAGAACCTTCTGTTGGCTGGGGTTCAGTGCTGTTGTTTGACACTTACTTGAGATCAGACTGCAGACACTGCGGATGTGTTATGAGTTTTCTGACATGTGTAACCAATACAGACCTTTTTTTTCTTTTAGGGTTGGGTTGATAACTTAAATGGACCTAGTGGGCTCATTATTGCGGTATGTATAATAATATAGAAATAACTCCTTGAAAGGTAATGGAGCAATGGGAACAAAATGCTTAATGTTGGTTTTGCTTCATTGATCCCAAACCATAAATGTTACTTTGCTTAACTACTGTTGAAAGCAACTTCATCTCAGTGTTGCTGATTGGAAAATAGAAGCAGGATGAAATTACTTTCATCATTTGTGGATTTTATTATCAGGAAAAAAGAGGTTCTGTGATATCATCAGTTATTATTTAGGAGTTTTCATTTTTGCAAAACCTGAGCATCAAAGACCATGTCTGTATTTCCTTTTGATTACCACAAGATGGGAGTGTTTCTTCCTTTTTGCTATTTATCAATAGCTCAAATTAGTACAGTGTTTGCCAGAGGTGGGGTGGAAGGATAAAGAGAGCACAGAGGATGTTTAGGACAATGAAATACCCTGTATGCTACTATATCAATGCATATCTGTCGTTATGCATTGTCCAAACCCATATAGTGTACAGCACCAAAGGTGAGCCTTAAGGTAAATAATGGATTTCTCTAGTAATGATGTGTCAGTGTAGACTCTTCAGTTTAAGAAATATGCCTTCTGGTGAGGGATATTGATAATAAGGGGGACCGTGTGTTGTGGGAGCAGTTATATGGGAAGTCTCTGTACTTTGTCTCAATTTTTCTGTGAACCTAAAAGTGCTCTAAAAAAATAAAATCCTAAGGAGAAAAAAATTAATATTTAAAAAAATCAGTGGAGTTTGAAATAGGTTAATACTAAGTTCTAGGCTATTGAAGGAGCCGTGGTAATCTAGACATGCTGGTTAGACATTTTTTTTCAGATGTTAACAAAAAGCAAATGAGCCAGACTTGTCCCCCATTTTATATTCCTATTGAAACTTCATGATCGTCAATTTAATCAAACCTCTTTGATTTTTTTAATGTCTAAAAAAAAATGCAAAAAGGGGGGAAGCAATAAAAATCACATTCTCAAAGATTATTCAATTCTTGATTATAATATACATTCAAGAGTTAATGTGTGTGGGTAGACATGTTATGTATATACATAAAAATACATCAATAACTATTTCCCAATAGATACAAGAAAGAAAAGCCACCAATTGAAGCAAAATTTTCACATATAAAAATTAATGAATATAGAAAACACTTTTCCCCAGTAGTCTTCTCCCAGACAAGGAGAAACATCAGCAGGGCCTCTAGGTCAGCAGCCCTCTGGGGGCATCTCCCTGCAGCGAAGGCTGATCTAGTTGACGTGAGGCCTGACCCAGTTCACAGTTCACACTGAAGCACTGTTAGACCAGAAGCACATCTCTACTCTTTAGGACAATGAATAGGAATTCACTTCTGTCCGAGTTTAAATCTTATTAGAAGTGCCAGGCTTCGGACTGCTTCTCTTCCTCTCAGAATTAGGTCCCACATGAACTAACATACAAATATAAGAGTGAATTTGTGACTCCTTGTCAACGACAGTGACAGCAAACTTCTTTCTGATTTCTTTGTAGCGGCCCCTGTCTTTTTGTTCTCTACCTGCCTTCAACTCTTTCTTCTTTAAGCTGAGTTGGGGGTGAACATGTGATAACTTAGAAGCTGAATATTTTAACATGATCCTAGAGTGAGTTTTATTATATTATTTGCAAAGGTGCAGGACGCCTGGGTGGCTCAGTGGTTGAGCGTCTGCCTTTGGCTCAGGGTGTGATCCTGAAGTCTTGGGATCCAGCCCTGCTCAGTGGGGAGTCTGCTTCTCCCTCTCCCTCTGCCCCTCCTTACTCCCTCAAATAATAAATAAAAGAAACGATAAGCTAATATTAATGGAAAATGTGGGAAACCTTAATTCTTAAAATGTCTTATGAATTTTTAAATGTGAAAAATTTCTCTTGGTGTTTGTTAATTAAATATAATAACCTCTCAAAAATTTGAGGAACTCAACTCCCTAAAGGAACCTGAGGACTTGTGTGGAAATGTTGGCATTTGGACTTGGCTGGGGGGTTGGCTAGGCTGAGAGAAGTCAGCCTTAGCGCGATGACCTAGGGAGCTGTGAGTCGGTCGGTGTTAACTATTATTACTAGCAGCATTAGTACTAGCCCCCGCTGTTACCTAAAACTTGGTTCAGTATTTAATGTTCTTTTTCCTGTGCAGGCTGGTAAAGGGTTTCTTCGGGCCATAAGAGCTACTCCGATGGCTGTGGCAGATTTAATTCCCGTTGATACAGTCGTCAATCTCACCTTGGCTGTAGGATGGTACACAGCAGTTCACAGGTGTGCATGTGGAAGCTGACTTTCAACAGTTTGATGAGGAGGAGGATGCATATGCTAGGCTTATTTTCAAAATATATGCATTTCATTATAGAAACCCCAAATGTCAGAGAGGATCTGTTTCGATATCTTACATAGTTCTTAACATGCCATTATGTATGCATGGAGGTGTTTTATAGATACTGCGTAGTATTTTGTATAAAGTAACAAACTCTTTAAATCATTTAATCATAAAATTCTTGATAACCAAAAAAAAGCTTTTTCTATTCAGTAATCTAAAATATAGCTCCCCTTTTTAAGACAAAGGTAATAAAAAGTAGGTGAAATAAGGTCATCTTTTATATTTATAGAACTGCTCATTTCCTGATAAATGCCAAAAGTTTAGATCACCAGATGGGGGGGGGGCTATTACCTAGTACAAAAAAAAATAATAATAAGTAAGTTGTTTGTATATTTGACTCATAGCAAATGGCAAACAACTAAATTTTTTCTTATTCAAAGTCAGCCATTTAGATGTTTTGCAATCCATCAGGGCTTAACTGTACTTAGAAGAAAACATAGCCTATATTTTGCCCAATAAGCATATCCAGAGGTTAGCAATATGATCTGCTCTCTCATTGTCAGGGTACTTCCGTTTGCTCCCTAAATACATCAACTTATTGAGATCTCTTTCACATGCACACGCACAAACACATACACTTTCCTAGTCTTCTTCCATTTTGCATTTTTACCCAAAGAAGGAACAAAAAGATGGAAGCGTTGCCTTAGTTATGGGAATTATTGAAACATCTTTGTCTACATGTTATTTTCCCTTATCTTTCTTCTATCCATCCTCCATTTTGTTGTGCTTATTTTTTATTTCATTTTCCAGGCCTAAGTCAACATTAATCTACCACTGTACATCTGGTAACCTCAATCCTTGTAACTGGGGCAAAATGGGTAAGTGCCTCTAGAAATGTGACTACTAACAATTAGTGTCTGCCCACACACTATTAGTATCTACCACAGGGGGAAAAATGTGACAAAATGGGAGCTTAGAATCTAATGGGAGAAAAAGATGAAAAATAAATAAGATAAAATAATAATTATAAATGTGTAAGAGTTAACTAGAATGTACTGTGGACCATCAAAGAAAGAGGATCGGCGGGAATATGTACATGACTGTAAGCAATAAGGGGTCCACTGGCTATAAACATTTTAAAAATAGATAAAACTGAGTAAAAGTCAGCAGTTAATAAGTAATGTCGGTGAGGAAATAGCCCTCCTGCTGAGGTGGTGGCGCCCATGCTCAAGTCCCTTGTACCCTGGATACATCACTGAGACTGAAATCATCAGTGACCAAGTAGATTTAGAAGAGTTCAATAATACTACCTTATGTTACTGAGAAATACTCTTTATCAATGTATTCAGTGAGCCGTGACCTCAAAAGTATCTTGTTGAAGTAGTTAATCCTGCACGTGATAGAAAATTAGCTAACCAATCTTACACTCCTTTGTCAATTTAGTTGATTTTCAGCAAATATCTGAAACTTTTAAAACAAATACTTCTGTTTAGATACTAGATATAGAAAAAAACTCACATGTACGTCATTTGTTAGAATCTGATTTCCAATTCAGAGCACTCTGCTATGCTACTCTGTAAAGTTGTCACATCAGTAAAAATGAAATGAAATTATCTACTACCACCAAGGTTCTTTAGATCATATATCCAGTTATTTAGATCATATATCTAAATAATTCTGAAGACATTTGGAAATAAAAATAAATCTCCTCTACCTCAGTAATGGAATTAAGACATCACTCATAAAAAGAGGTAGTAATGGAAGCAAACAAGATATGTTGAGCTCCTAAATAAGAAGGTGCACATGTAAATTCCATTTCTGAAATTCTAGTCTTCTCCTATGCTGAAATCTCTTATCTGTCTTATCAAATTATACAATGTCATAGTTGAAGGTAATCTTAAAAATAATCTAGTATCCTTGCTTTATTTTATATATGAAGCCCCAAGATAGTGAAAGATCTATTCAAATTCATATGGAGAGCTGGTACCTAAAATAGAAACAGAAGACAGTCTCTTGTGTCTTCTGGATGTGCAGTAACAATTCCACTAGTGATTCTTAAAAGTGAATATGAACCCCTATGGGAAGAAAAGAGTTCAGATTCCTGGGTCAGATATTTCTTGAGAATCTTCTCTGTATAAAGAATATATATATTATATATATTCCAAGTAATACATTTTAAGGAGGACCAATAATCACATTACCATAATAACTGATATCTATATCATAATTGAATAATGAACTTAGGTATATTCTTTGAAAATTTTTCATAGATAAAATCATTAAATTCAAATTAATGTTTTTTGAAAATTCTTTATTTTACAAATGTACATTAAAGGTTTTTAACTAGGTTTTATCTACATAACAATATAAAAAATTATTGTGAAAACAAATCTGGAGACAAGAGTGGACAATTGAGTCTGGTATATTCCCAGAGAAGCAGAAATACCAAAGAAGTAAAAGACTGGTATTTTTGGAGCCAATGCAAGGGAATCCTGCCTCAATATTGTTTTTCACTTAAACAACTATGAAAGCTTTAGGTAACCTTTTATAAAGGTTTAAGTAAAATATGAAGAAACTAAAAAAATATATATAGTATATATATTTATTTGAAGAAACATCCCTGATGGTTCTACAAGTGATAATCCAACCTAGGAAATAAGGCCCTCAGTCTCTGTCTTGGGGCTTTCAGAATAGACTAGATAATCTGGGAACCGAATAATGGATTTAAGCTTTTCTGATCAATATCTCACTGTATTGATTGAAACTACTTCCCCAAGAAGTTGTTTTAGAATAAAGGCTTCAAGATAAGGACCCAATGTGTAAGCCGTTCTCATTGTTTGATTTTGTAGGTGAACTTTTGCCTGGCACAAATATCTTAGTATTGTTCTCACAGATTGATTCTTGACTCTACACAGCAAATCACTAGTCTTTATCATTTTGACCCACTGCAAATGCCCTCCACTACAGTGGGCTTACATGCTCCTAAACTTAATACTATTATATATAAACTTATATATTATATGTTATATATAAACTTAATACTCCTAAAAAAATACTATTTTTTTTTTCCCGCAGGATTCCAAGTCTTGGCAACCTTTGAAAAAATCCCATTTGAGAGAGCTTTTAGGAGGCCATATGCTGACTTCACAACCAACACCATCACAACCCAGTACTGGAATGCAGTCAGCCACCGGGCTCCTGCCATCATATATGACTTCTATCTGAGGCTCACGGGAAGGAAGCCCAGGTGAGAAGCTGGGTCAGTTGCTTTAAGAGTGTTGATACATGGAAGATTAGGGCCCCAAAGTCCTTAGCCCTCCTTTCATCTGGGGATGAAAGGTAACAACTGAATCTTATATAAATTTGGGACCAACCAAATTAGTAGTAATGAGAAGCCCCAAAGGGACCCGTACCTTAAAAATCCTCCATCATAATACAGGAAGTTAAATGTTGAGGAGCTTGCTTGGTGAATTCAGCAAGTAATCATTCACCCAAAAAGCAAAGCAACTGAGACTCTAAGTCTGGGGTTTTCTAAATTGTTAGGTAATCTTAAAATTGTGCAATAATGGTAACAGCCGTGCCACACACACACACGCACACAGGATGATGTGAGATGATTTCATTTTCATTCTCACAACAATCCAGAGAAGATGTAATCAATACACCAATTTTACAAATAGGAAATAGAAGCTAAAGTAGCTTAGAAGTGGCAAAGATCTGCAGAAACCTGAGCTAGATTTACTGCCACCTAGAGGTGAGTAAAGAAATTAAAGGGAACAAGGTAGAATGAAATGTGCTGCTGCTGAGGCAGCTCTGTCGCCATCTAGCAGTGTGACGTAGGAAACATCTCTTTCTGTCCCACTTGAGGAATTTTATATTGTTGTCTGAAGAGTCATTGTTATAATTACCAAAGGCAATCCCTGCAAGCAAGCACAGGAGCATGAATAGCATTGCTTTCTGTGCTAGTCTCTTTATAGGAGGAAGACTTTATTGCTGTGTTTAATTTCTGTCCTTATTAGCAGTGCAAATAGCTAAAACAGGCAATGTTGCATTTATCTGAATTTCCAGAGACCTTATTTAGAGCTCAAAACTCAGTAATCATCAGTTTCTTGAGCAAGGTGAAGAGAAGATGCTGTGGCTATGGGAAAAATATTTGTAGGGGGCTTATTATATAAAGGTGGGAAAAGAAGGAAAACCAAACATTGTAGGCAGAAATGCTGAAGACTTTAAAATTTATCAGGGTTGGAAGAAGACCTCGATAAAGAGCAGAGGTCCATAAGTAGAAAAAAGGAGGAAGGGAGCCAATAAAAAATCTTTATGAATTTTGTTTGTGAGAAATTAAATATTTGTGGGAAACCGGTAGGTTTCTTTTGTGATAGGAATAATCTTTATGGCAGAAAATGCTAGAATCCTTCTAGACCCTTCTTCTTCCCAGATGTTTGCGTGTAATCTTCCATGCATTTACAACCATATAGAGACATATATAAATATAGTGTTGCTTTGAGGTGTGTGTGTAAATCAAGCCTACATATTTACCCACTTTTTTCACCAATGTTCCTTGAAAATCTAAGTCATTCTATCTAGTGTTGTCTGTTTTTTCCTATCACAAACAATGGGGTAATGAGTATCAGTGCATTTTTTTTAGATCTTGCTACTGGGTCTGGGGAGGATGCTGAGGAGTGTGACTGCTGGATTGGAGGCTATCTGGAGTTTGTGACTACTGCTAGGTTGCCCTAAAGGCAGGCTGCCAATTTGTACTACCACATCAGCACAGGAGGGGAAAAATGTGTTTTTAATTACTCTCATCAATACTTAGCAAAAAATCAATCTTTTGAATTGTCAAACTAATAGCAATGAATGACATCTCTGTTATTTTGATTTGCATTCCCCTGATTGCTGGAGGGGCCGAGCTTTTATTGTTCACTGGACAATTTTTTCCTCTGGGAGTTGTCTGCCTCTGCTTCTTACCTATTTTTCTATTGGATTGTCCTTATTAATTTACAGAAATTCATATTTATGTGGATAAATATATATTTAATGTATTTTCTCCAAGTCAATTTCTTCTCTCATAGCTTTGATATGAAGCTTTATCTAATACGAGGGGAGTACCTATAATGTAGGTCTAAAAGCATGGAGTTTAGACTGTGACTTACAGATTTAAATCCTGGCTTCATCACGTGAAGCACTATATGAGCTCTAAATTACTGTTTCTAATACCTTACTGCCTCATCTGTAAAAAGGGACAGTAATCATTCCTATTTTATAAGATTTTATGTAAGAGGGCATAGAATATAGTAATCACTGTTATTATTAAAGAAGTTTTAGATTTTTATGTGATTAAATGAATCACTTTTTTCCTTTATTGGTTTTACATTTTATGTGTTAAGAAGACCAGGCCAGGTGGCTCAGCGGTTTAGTGCCACCTTCAGCCCAGGGTGTGATCCTGGGGACCGGGGATCAAGTCCCATGTCAGGCTCCCTGCATGGAGCCTGCTTCTCCCTCTGCCTGTGTCTCTGCCTCCCTCTCTGTGTGTCTCTCATGAATAAATAAAATTTAAAAAAAAAAAAAGACCTTCTGTACCTGAAAGTAATAAATGTACTTTCTAAAAAAATAAAAAAAACTATGATACTGATATATTCCTGTACATAGGGTATCATTCTACAATGGTTATTTTTAAAAATTAAATTATTGAAATCACATCAATTACATGAGAGCTGTAGGATGGATAATTATCCATTTGGCTGCTACAGAAGTATCATAGACAGGGTGGGTTATAAACAACAGAAATTTCCCTCACAGCTGTGGAGACTGGGCAGTCTAAGAGCAGGGGCTGGTGGATTCAGCATCTGCTAAGCGCCTGCTTCCTGATTCCTAGACAGCCATCCATGCTGGAAAGGCCAGGAGAGATTTCTGGATTCTCTTTTATAAAGGGCACTAGTCACCTTCTAAAGTCTTCTCTAAATACTATCACATTGATGAGAATAGGTTTAAGTATATGAATTTGGAGAGGAGGGGGATATAAATATTTAGTCTATAGCAAAAATGTAAGATAATAATAGCCAAATGAAACCCTATTATGATGCTTGTATCAGGGAATAAGGAATCTACCTTCTGCCTAAGAATTTCCCATGTACAGTAAGTCATTGGGTATATAAGCATTAGGACTTGACCAGAAATAAGACCAAATTCCCAAAATAGCATCATAAGTCATTACTGGGTCAAATGGGTAGTCACTACTGCCAAAACTGGCCCAAGATAAATGTTGTAGAGGCCAAATGTTCTATAGGCTAAAGTGATTTGTAGCCAGAAGATCTAGGTTGATGCATTAGCTGTGTCACTTTGAACCGTTAATCCTTTTGTAAGATGAATGTAAAGAATGTAGATCTTTACCACCGGTGAGGATCAAATAAGAGCAGGTATGAAAGTTTTCTATAAAAAAATTTTTTAAAAGAAAGTTTTCTATAAATGGTTGCAAAGTTGTAAGTTCACAACTAGGCAAAGTGAGCTTAAGATAGATTAAGTGGCCACGATAATATAAGCATCAAAACCAAAATTCCAACCCCGTTTTGACTGACCTGAAAAAGCCTCAGCTTTTCTAATCTCACCACTCTGTGCCCCATTACTTTAGATAGCCTGCATCTCCCAGTACTGTGGTCAGGACTTGGACCAGCTCACTTTGTCCATTCACAAAATGTACCTACCTAACAGAGATGCTATGAGGATTAGTTAAGATATTTGTTTAAGGTATCAGCTCTGTGCCAGACAGTGGGTTATCACCTAGTTATTGTCTAATATCTGGCTGGGTTTTTAAAATGTTTGCTACTCTTGAGAAAGAGAAGATAGTAAAGAAGTAGAGGAGGAGTTTGGTGGTATTAAAATGACTAATAGAACAAACTCCTTTAGATGAGATGCATCAGCTTCCTTCATTCAACACAGTTCACAAATATGGAAAGAGAAAAAAGAATACGTGTTTTAATGAAGAAGTGGGGGGGAAGGTAAAGAGGGAAATTTTCGATATTTCCTTTTATATATATATATTTTTTTTTTCTCAAAAGTAATTTGTCATACGTCCTAAAGAGTAACCGTGCCATCTGTGGTGTGCTGATATTTGCTCCTATCTGATCTTTACCTTAGGATGACAAAGGTCATGAATCGGCTTTTAAGAACAGTTTCCATGCTGGAATATTTTGTCAACCGGAGTTGGGAATGGAGCACGTACAATACGGAAATGCTAATGTCTGAGCTGAGTCCTGAAGACCAGAGAGTAAGTAGAACGCTGACAACCAACAGGAAAATCTTACTCATTTGGAATTTAGAATTATTTGACCTGGAAAGCTGATAAACAAAGGAAGTTTTAGTTATAGACACAATCTTTTTTTTTTTTTTTATGCTAAGAAAATCAGTCAGTGCTATTGACACAATTGCAGGACATAAGTTATTGTAGGTAAGAGACCTGGGTTCTTGACCTTGGTTAGATCCTCACTGCTATCCTGCAGTCACATTTCATGTACTGAATTTGCTTCAATCCCTGTTCATCCTTGATGGCTGTTTTCAACAAACCCTCGGTACCTCTATATTTTCCCTAACCTCACAACATAGGACTTCAATGAAAAATCAGTTTTACTGCTCATAAACTCATCCACTAATCTTATTAAATCAGAATCATTCTCCATCTCCAGAGCTACAATTCTTTCCTTTTTTAAAGCTAACCCCTACTCCCATTGCATCCCACTTAGACCTCCCTCCCTCTCCCTCTCCCTCTCCCTCTAATGATCTGTCTTCAACAAATCAGACTTCTTATTTCTCAAGACAGGCCTTCACCTTAATGCTTTGCACCAGTGCCATTTCTTTCTTTACATTAGCTTCTTGGCAGTTACAATAGTTAAGTCCTGAAATCTTTGTGTATTCTGAAATTCACAAGTATAGAAATCTTTTGTACTTTGTACATGTTCCTAGGTTTTTCTTCTCAGGGAGTCACATGTTCCCTGACCATATCCTTAGTTTTCTATTACACTTTAAAGTTCTCACTCTCTTGCTTGGCATTATCTATTAAAAAAAATTCTTTTAAAAGGTAAAGCATTTCTTGATTTATCTAATACTTGACAGTATGTAGAAGAGACCATGTGTGAGGAGGAAACATTAGAAGGCCACAGCTAGCCTCACTTGCCAACTACGGATTTCCTTCTACAAACCAGCGACACAGACCATGATTCAAATCCAAGCCCTAGAATTACTTTGGGTCATGGAACCTAAGGGTTACTTACAAAGTCCAACACCATAATGTTATATTAAATACATCAGGTGAGATTTAAAGGGATATTTTAACTGAAATAATTGCTGAGCATCTCTAAACTTGACATGAAATAGGGCTATATTCAGAAATATCTACATACCTTCATAGACAAAATTATTCTAAAGTACTTGTTTGAAATGCATAGACAATGATGAAACTAGATTAAAAAAAACCTCGAGCTATTGTAAATTATTTTAAAATTAGCTTCAAATTTTATGTGGGCTTATCTTTATTGCATTCTCTTCATGGAATTTATCCATCTAAATAATTCAAAAGGTAATAAGGTTAGTGTTTCATTTTTTGACATGTATAACTGAAAATTTTGTGGAAAGAAAGAATCAACTCTGCTCTGGATGTAACGTGCTTTCAAAATAGCTTAGTGAAGATAATAGTCCTGAATAATTGGATGTAATTGCCAAAATCTGGCTTAGAATTGAGTTTGATTTGCCCTATGGAATGAGGATTCCAAACTAGGGCCTCATTGAAATCTAACTTAGAACTGTGAAATAGTATAAAAATAAAAGCCTCTGTTTATATAGTAATATTTAGTGATTCTATAGCAAAGAAACATACCCAAAGCAATACAGAATCACTTTTGGAAAGGATTTCGGCTGTTGGACAAGTCTATGAAGGTCTCTGGAACTCATCAATCTCATCTGTTCTTTGTTGATTCTCCACAGTATTTCACAAGAATTTGAGATAACTTGCAATATACATATAATAACAGAAAAGAGAAAGAAAACATCAAGCTAGGGGAAATATTAAAATATGAAGTCAAAGAATGAAAAATAGAATGTCCATCCATGTGTAGTCTATAAGATCCTACTAAGTCACTGCAGTTAAGCAAGGAATTTGTTTTTGGGCTTTTTGGTAGCAAAATGAAAGGGAAAATATAGTTCCGTGGCATTCCGTGTCCAAGAGGAGGAAATGCACCAGTGTTCCAAGAGAAGCACTGAACTTACCACTGAATTCAAATGTTTTTGAAGGGCTTCATTTGACAACACCCATAATGGATAATATCTCTGAAGCAAATACAGAATATAAATTTTGTTAAACTATAACTTAAGGCTTTGCTTATCCAGTCTTATTAGTCTGCTCTATTAAGTAGAAAAGGATGGTAGGCCAAGGAAACACCACCAAAATTTAAGAATGGAAAAGAAGCACAATTTGTTCTGGTCCCTAACCAAAGGTGTCCCATCACTTTTAAAAATAACTAGTCCTCATTTATTTGAAATTAGCCTTCACCAGACAAAAGAATGACAATTCTTTTAAATTTCCCCTCACAAGACTTCCCAAAGGTCAAATATTTGTCCTTGATCTATGTTTAAATATTTCTGTGTAAATGGTAATCCATATTATCAGTGTCTTTGAAATAACAGTTCAAATAATCTTTGGAGGAGTCCAACCCAAGTCTCCCAAACCATTTACTCAATTATGTGAAAGACTGTCACTCACTTATGTGAAAGAAACGTCATCAAAAGGACAATGTGATTGTCTCCAGCAGTACAATTCTGGCAATCCATAATCTCTTCTTGCCTTTCAGGTATTCAACTTTGATGTGCGCCAGTTGAACTGGTTGGAATATATTGAAAATTATGTTTTAGGAGTTAAGAAATACTTATTGAAAGAGGATATGGCTGGGATCCCAGAAGCAAAACAACATTTGAAAAGGTAAACATAACCAGTTAATATTTATTAAGCACTTACCAGATATATCTGATTCTATACTAGACATGAAATTTGAGCAGGGGAGGGGAAGAATCAACATTTTTTGAGCACTTACATTACAGGTCCTTCCTTGTACACTCTCCCCTTGCAGTACACTGTTTCACTTAGATTTCACCACATGCCTATGAAGGAAGTATCATTTTGTTATCCCATTTTTCTTTTTAAATGAAAGAGCTATTTAGGCTCAAAGAAAGTAATTTGTACATGGTAAGACATGGTAAAGAGCCGGATTTGAACCTAAGTTTCTGTTTCTTCATATCCTGTCCCAATGTGATATAAAGAATACCCAACAACAGGAAACCTGACTGTACTCTTTAACGTGGGCAAATCAGTCACTATTTTTTAAGTCCTTAAATTGCCTTAAATTTCTTTCAGTCATTATTCCATAAGGGACAGAGAACTGTAACAACCTGATACAATTCTGGTAGGAGCAAAGAGTTTTTAATTTTTTTTTTTTATTTAGTTATGATAGTCACACAGAGAGAGGCAGAGACACAGGCAGAGGGAGAAGCAGGCTCCATGCACCGGAAGCCCGACGTGGGATTCAATCCCGGGTCTCCAGGATCGCGCCCTGGGCCAAAGGCAGGCACCAAACCGCTGCGCCACCCAGGGATCCCGAGCAAAGGGTTTTTAATGCAGAGATTATCAGCATGGAAAAGTAAATTGAAAAGAGAGGAACCTTGAATAGCAGGCTAAGAGCTTAGAACTTACCTTCTACTGAACAAACAGTGAAGATTTCTGACAAGGCAATATGATCTAAGTATATTTAAGAAAGATTGTTAGTAATGTTTGTAAGATTGGTTAAAGAAGAGAAAGGTATGGGAAAGAGAAACTAATACTATGGAAATTTGATTATTCCGGAGGCATGGTGTAGAAATAAAAGCTATAAAAATCAAGAGGTCGTAAGGTCATGCCACATACCTGTGAACACCTTACAATCTTCTGGTCACAACCAGGAAACAACACATTTAGATTTCAGATAACACAGTTGGGTATTTGGTGCTGTTTTAACTTTGGTTATATATGTCTGTTCCCCAGGCTCCGAAATATACACTACCTCTTTAATACTGCCCTCTTTCTCATCGCCTGGCGCCTTCTCATTGCAAGATCTCAGATGGCTCGGAATGTCTGGTTCTTCATTGTGAGCTTCTGTTATAAATTCCTCTCCTACTTTAGGGCATCCAGCACGCTTAAGGTCTAAGAACATTTGACAAGCTCCTTTCACCTGGAACCTCTTGGATACCTCTAAAACAGCAAACTGTGGTTCTCAAGATTAAGAAGTAACAAAGAATATGCCCCAAGCTCATTACCTGTCCAATGTGTTGTCATGTATTCATCCCTGTTTCTTACCTATATATTGTTTTTATTTCAGTGAAAGAAGGAAAGTCATATCCTAGCCTATAATCATATCTATCTTAGGAAAAATTATTTCCAGATTGCTTCCTAACATTCTATACTGTGCCCTTGAATATAAAACACCAAAATACACTTATCTGTCCATATTTAGGTTTTTTCTCGAGAGGACTAATTTTGACTCCATGAACATGGAAGAACACATGGTAGAAGCTAAAATATGCTAAAGAAAGGCAGTTCTAACCTTGGAACCATTCTGGGGTTCTAAGATTAAGTTGAGGAGGAATGATCTTCGCATCCTCAGAAATACTGTAAAAGAAATCATTCTCCACTGAAATCTCAGCTTCCTGTGTTATACCATGGAGAGCTGATTGAAGGCTGGGGGAAATTGGAAAAGTAAGTTCACATTTAGCACCTCCATCAACTACACCCACTTCTGAAATCTAAAAAAAAAAAAAAAAAACAAAAAACAAAAAACAAAAAAACAAAACCCAAAGCACAAGGTCTAAATAATTATGTGTAGAATATACATATTTGATGTAGACTATACACCAAGCATATTTGCATCGGGACTGCTTATTATTCTTTCAAGTAAAATTAGTTGTCGTAATTTGAATCTGACAACTATTATTTCTAAATCTTTTGAATCATCCATTTTCCTGATAACACCTCAAGAGTTTCCTTCTTGTTCACTGAAGTCACTAAACCCCTTATATTTAAGCTTATTTTGCTCAGGCCTCAGAGTGACTGATGGGAGAAAGGAACTAGGCTAGAATCATTAAAAACAAAAACAAAAAACAACAGTCCCCTGATCTCTGCCTGGGAGGAAAGCAAAATTTCAAACATAAATGTAAATGCTAGTTTTAGTCTTTTTCTGCAAAGTAGGGAAGATTACCCTTCTCTGATCATCAGGACTTTGTAGTATCTTGATCATTCCAATTGCACAATGTTAACTGTACAATGTACAGCAGAAGAGGATAGACTTCACTAAGTGACTGTCAACTTAGAGACTGGGTATTGTTTTGTTTAAAAATATTTTATGTATAATATCAATGAATTAGTAAAAACTATATTTATTCTCAAATTCCTATATTAATAATATAACTGTTATCCCAACTTTCCTCATATTTGAGAGATCTGTGTATGTTGGATTGGAGCATTTCATGTTAAAAACATGGAATATTATTCAAATACGGTATTTGGGGCCTAAGCAACTAAAAATAATCACAACTACTAGAAAACTACAAAAGCATAAAATGGTAAGGCAGTTATGCTTATGCTCACTTTCCAGAATAATTAGTAATACTCAAGAAAGCGCACATGGTTGCAGTGCACAAGGCTTGAGGGCAGCTTCTAGTCCAGTATTACTAGAGATTTTTTGAACACTATAAAGGGCATTTAGGGGAACACTTCTGGGCAATGTCTTTTCCAATCTCATTTAAGGTCTGGGAACTTCTTTCCAGGGCAGACAAACCAGCTCTGAAACAAAGCACTTGGTGATCTTTAGTTTGAGATGTCTATATGATACTTCTGAGTTACATTAAGATACAAACTGCAGATAGGATAAAAATGAAATCAAGATATAACTCATTGAGATTGGATAAAACAATTATTCTAAGAATTTACTATCTTTTGATTGTTTCACCAATTCCATAAATTCTACTGATTAAGTATTCATTTTAATTTTTGATTAAATGAAAGTTTGAATTAAAAAAATGTTTTCCTCTTCTAGTGTTGTATCTTTAACTGCAGACTATTATGGTAAATCTCCCTCCCCTGAGAAAAAAAAGAATCTTCCAAAGAAACTACCAAATGAATATAAATTAACACACATCCATACATAATATTTAACTATGTTCTGACACCGTTAAGAGTTACATTTACAAGCTGAAGCTTGTTTTATCTATGGCATTAATGACACAAAGTTCTGTGATGATTATGTGGTAAAAATAGGTATCTTATGAAAGAAAATCCCTAATTATTTTATATCAAGAACAATTAACAATTATTTGAATGCCTAACACATACAATTACAATGCAGTGAGAATCTTCTACTAGTGAGAAAGGGACTGACGGTAAGTACAAAAAGATTTCTATGTTTAAAAAGTTTTGTTCATTCCTATGTTTTTTGCCCACAACATACCTGATACAGTAAATATTTCAGAGTTTAAGACAGTCACCACCTAAGCAATTAGAAAAAATTGAAGCAGGTGGGCATACAACTAAAAAAAAAAAAAAACATTTCTTACATAACTTACTAATTTTATACTAACCCAATACCATCACCTCCAGTTAACAGCTCAAACAGCTGATTTAGAATCTCAGGGTAAATAGACTGATCTGAGAAGAGACCCAAATAGTGTGTTATCTTACAGTGGACATAATAGTTTCCAAAAACATCAGTATTTTTCAAAGTTCACAGGAATCCCATGTGAATTTCCACATGGTTATTTTTCTAGAACTGCAAATCCATTAATTATATTCTGGAAACATGAACAACTGTCTGTAGTTAAAAGTGATGGTTGTCCCATATGCCCACATAGAGGTATGGGAAAATGTTCACTGCTTAGATTACTTTGTAAAAATATACGTTTTTTTTATTTAATGAAATAAAATTAGCTGGTTTTATGATGTAACTGGCTTGAGAGACAGTGGTGACTTATAGTAGAAATAGTTATGGCAAAGGACACTAGAGTTTTAACAGCTAGAAACCCCTATTCTGGTACACAAAAAATTCAGGTGTGAATTGAAATACTGATTCCAACTTGGAGCTATAAATAGGTGGGGAGATGTGAGGTTGGACAACTTGTATCAATTCTACTTTAAAGAAATAAATCTTGTACTACAAGAATTCACCAAGTTCATTTGCAGAACTGCTTGATACAAAAAAGATTCTGAAGTATTTTATATCAGCTTTAGTATGTAGCTTTCATCAGTGTATCCCCCCACATCTACTGTCTTAAAGTTATTACACAAAATAGCATAAAATGGATTATATTTGGAAGTTGTCAATCTAATTCCTTTTGATTAACATCCAATACAATTAGGAGTTGCTAAGACAAAGCTATTTAAATGTTTCACTGACTATAATCTTATATTCAACTCCATTGACAGTTTTATAGACTTGAATCAACTATTCAATTTGCATCACTCATTCACTTTTTAATATGAAAATACAAAAGAAATCCACTCTTATACAGTAATTTAACTCCATTTGGAGCAAAAGCAAATGTAACAGTGATATTTAAAGATTGCCAGTTTTCCTATAAGGAAAAAAGCAGCTTAAATATGAGGAAGTGGGGCTTATTTGGGGATACATGATCATAAAAGGACAAAGAAACTTCTATTTGTCATTTTACTTAGAGTCCAAATGTTCGGGATTGAGACACTAAATGAGTCTTTTGTATTCTCTTTTCTCTAAAAATAAAACAAAAAAAAAACCACAAGAAAACCAAAAAATCCAAGGCAGTTTGTTTCCTACTCCTAAGATAATGCAAGGTGATTTTATCAATAAAAAATATTTCAAGAGTGGGGGAAAACTACAATAGGAAATACTTGAATATCTATACAGGCATTATACCATAATGTATGAACATATGGTGATCTAGTTTGGATAGTGCTGACAAAGGGTGGACTCACTTTGGCTTGCAGAAGGTTTGCAACAGAGCTCCAAGCAGAAGGGGAGGAAGGACTTAAGTACTCGGTTCAAGGGCATGATGAAATTTTAAAGATCCTCTGGCTCAGGTTTAGATAACTTTTAAACAATCAAAATTATCCATCTTGAGCTCAAGATTCAAAGTTTTAAATTCTGAAGCAGACAAGTTCCATATAAATTTTACTTTCTGGTACCCAAATCAGTAACCCACAACATAAAAAAGACAGGTTGCATAAAATATCCCTACTGATACCATTAAAAAATTAGACCTTAGTCATTCCTTTATGAATTCCAAAGTTAAGTTTGCATTAAAGATTGTGAACTTTACTTGCATTAGTAATTTTACTATGAAAATTCAGTGTTCTCTATCATAAAATGTATCTGAGAAAAATGTGATACTAATGGTCTAAATTGAGAATTAGAAGTAATTTTGTAATTATAATACTGGGTTAATCTTTTCCCAAGAGGTAGTCTGTATTGTACAAATACTGCAGCAGAGAATTATTCACCTAAATATTTTATCTCTTCTTATAGGCCAAAGTATACAAAACACAGTTTAAAAAAAAAAAAACTTTCATGTAAGTTGAAGTTTCAACTTTTAAAATATTTAGGCTGGAATATATAAATATTATGAATACCCTAATAAAATGAAAAAGGACTGAGTAATAAAGTTGGGTAGCCTCCCCGAGGCACAAGCCAAAGCTCCATAATAGGTATGTCAGTACACTGTTCCCTGCAATGGAAAAGAAACACTTGGCAAGATCAGAAACTCCTAACTGATCCTAATATGCAGGCATACTTCATCATTCACCATCCAAAAGGCTGGTCAGAATCTTACTACTTTGATGGCCAAAAACCTGTCTTTGACTATTTGAGGAATTTCAGGTAAAAAGCTTTCTTAACTATTAAAGTATAAATCAATGGCAAAGCAGGATTTGGCTTTAAAGAAATTCCTTTTATAGTCAGCTTTAATGGGAAAGATTAATTACATTAAAATTTTAATAAGGTATTTGGAAAACATGGGAACAATTAAAAACCATATGTAAGCAAGCACCAAAATAATTTTAAAATCCTTTTAAAGATACTTAACTGCTAAAATCCTAACTGAAAAGAAAAGAATTTTAAATCAATATTGTTTTACCTCCCTTAAAAAAATAAAACACCTTGAATGAACTTTCTGGAAAGCAGATTCACAGAACCAAGATTCAGTCTAAAATAGCTAAAATTCTAAGTAAAATTCCTTCTGAGAGATGTTCTATTAGTTCCTAGTCTAACTTCATTGGAAACAGTTTTTGAAATAAATCAATAGCAGAGAAGGCTCATTGATTTTTTGGAGTTTTCTGGAATCCAAAATCTTTCAGAGCATGTTACATCATCTGTGTTAATCAGTCAACTTAATAGCTTTTAATAGTAAAGTATATATTTTAAACAATAATGCTTTTATTTCCTTCAGAGTGCCATTCACCATAAGCTTTTAATTCAAAGCAGTTTCATTAGTATTTCTCCTTTTCTTCATTGACATTATCTGTGCCAACTATTTCCAAGGAAACATTTTTTCATCTTTAAAACAAAAAAACCATTTGTAAAACTGTAATTTGTGACGTACTATCTCCAAAACCCACCATTTTAAATCCAGTCTTTTAGTCTTATCTTTGTCACTTACCTGGAATTTTACTTCCCCACTTCTCCAAAGGACTTAAACCATTGGGGACTGGTAGTTATTCTACTATCATTAAGTATTACAAAAGGAAAACTGATGTTGGTACATGTATTCCAAATACAGTTTTTAATGGCACCTGAGCAATATCTCCCTCTTATTATTTTTAGTCTTTCAAAGTCTGGAAATTTAAAATTAATCCTTAATTAGTAAGAAAGCTACAACAACACAATCTAATATCAAAATCAATCACATTCAGGACACTCTGAATGCAGACACTCATAATCCAGTTTTACAGCTTAACAGACATTGTTTAATGATAATCTCTCAGATCTGACATGATCTTGCCTTATGTAAGTATTTGCCTCATGTTTCTACTTTAAAGGTAAAGTTACCCTGTTGCCCCTCACCCAAACACGTATAAAATATTCTACTTTTAATACTTTACAAACTGATAATTTTCATCACCATTAATGGACCTTTTTATTACTCACCTCCCTCTACCAAAGTATACCAATAATATAAGGGTCAGACAAGAAAATTTAGCATCTTTTTAAAAAATGTGCTTTCTTCTCCCTGTATAAGTGCCCACTATACAGTTTGTGAATGCTACCTTTGTTACATATTATATAGCACCTACGTACTCTGCCCCTGTAAGAATTCACCTTAGTCTTCCACGACCCTGCCTTGTACAGTCAGAAAAAGCCAATAGCCAGAGTTTAAAGAAAAGCAGTTACCTTCCTCAGACCAAATTATTAGATAAATGGCCTTGTCATTATGGCTTAACATTGATATGGCTATAGCATAGGGATCCATCCCTATATTCCTTTATTAACAGTGTGACCTGACCACAACTTTTTAAAGTCTAGACTAGTTTTCCATATGTTTTACATATTTTATTCTGATATATCTTTTAAAAACAGAAGGACGCAAACATTTGCACTTATCAATGCCTTTTTCTTTAGATGTGGTTTGACTTCTTTCCTTCAGGTTCTTTGCCACCAAGAAGCAAGCTCTGATTTCAATACTGCCCATTCGCTATGAAAATATCAGACGGGGTCATCTTCAAAGCAACACTCCAGTTGGGCTTATTCACTGATTAGCTGCATAATTTCTTCTAGGACAACGTAACAGACACAACATATACGGGATTTCAGTTTGGGTTTATCTTTCTTTTTTTTTCCCTAGGTGTGATTCCCACTTCTCATTCATATTTTCTTTTCTTTGAATATATTGCACAATATTTTATTATTAAAAAAGGTTTTATGTCTCAGGCAAAAAGTTTATCTCCTTCACTCAGGAGGTGCTAATGTGTATTATTCTCTAAAAGAGGTAAGTGGTTGTCTGTGTGGCCATCCTCAAAGGGGACCTAGGGAGAAGAAAAGACCAAAGCATTAGTTTTATTCCTTACACTA